ATAATTTTAAAATAAACTAAATATTCAAAAGTTTATCCTTCTGTCTACAGGGAACTCAAAATATGATCTTCCAGATGAACCTTTTACAAGACAGTTTTACTTTGTCCACACAGTTGGTCAGTTTAAGTGAGTATAAAATTTGAGTTGATTTCTGTGCTTTTGACCGTACTGTTAAAACTAAAGCAGGCTATGTGCCACTTTTATGGGTCATAGGAAAATCTTAACCTGTCAAATGCTGCCATCTGGTGGGCAACCAGAGTGCTTTACAGCACTATCCCACCCGTTGATTCTGGGTTTGCATTTCAGGGGAAGGACTTCAAGGGAGAGTATGGCACGAGGTAGAAGTGTCCCTAATTTTACTGATGATTCCTTGCATGAGGTGAGTTATTAAACACTGGCTTATATCATATTTTTTAAAGCCTGGCCTTTTCAAAACGAATCCATGGTAAACATGTTTCTCATTTAATTATTCCCTTCACAATTAAGACAAGCCAAGACTATAGACTTCACTTACTGTTATATTTAACAATACATTTCTGAGCTAAGGAAGGAAAGTGAGGGAAAAGTGGAAATAGTTACAAACATAGTTCATGGTGTGTATACTGGGTGAGGTATCTCAAATTTCAGTGTAAACAAATTCACAGAAGTGTTTAAGCACAAAGGTGTTAAAGGAAGAAAAGTTTGTGTATTGACAGGTAAAAAGTTCTCCAAATATGGTATAAAGTTGCCCATATAGACAATTCTGTGTGTGGCCATTTTCCTACAGCACTCTTTTAATCACTCACTTATAAAAAGAAGCCTGCTTTTCCTTCTGTGGTGCTGTGAGGTGGTTTCTTAGAGAGATGACTTCTTATTGTGGCTTGCCAATATATGACTATTGATGAGTAAATAGAATTTATAGCATGTGTGGCATACGCTTACTGGAACAAATATACAGAAATTCCAAACTTTATTTAGAGAATTAAAATGATTTTTGCTAGCATGACTAATTTTGATTTCATATTTAATCTCTTATGACTTTGCTAATAGACCTGTTGCTGGGTAGGAGACCTGCAGACTTTGAAATCTGCCTGGGTTTTATCAAGTGCTAGCTTTTCCTGTGCTATGAGACTTTTGCAGATTACTTAATTTTGCTAATCCTGTTTCCTCAGCTATAAAATGAGGTAACAATAGTACATACTTGTTAAGAGTTGTAAAGATTGAATTTGAAACATGTAAAGCCATTTACATTGTGCCTGACACATGGAGGCTCATGTCATACTATCCCCACAGGGATGTTAAGAGTTGAAATTATGCCTGGAAGGTACTGAGCACAGTGGATGACACATATAAGCACCCAAGGCTAGCTGTTATTATATGGTGGTACAAAAGTGAACTGTTTGAATTGTACCTTTCCTCCAGCCAGGGACCCAGAGAGTCACATGGAAACAGAATAACCTCCCAGACCAGGGCAGATCTCCGACTGCTGACAAAGGAAATGGTGATCAGCCCAACAGGCCTGGACTGAAACAGACTGCCCCTGGGAGCAGGCAACTGCTCCTCAGACACACAGTCAATGATGCAGCTGTAGCCAAGGGCCCAGAGACTGCTGGCAACCTAACTGCTCCCCAAGGGGCTCCTATTTCCCACTCTTAACAGTCATTGAGGAATTGCTAAATTGCTGCTGAGAAGTGAGTTCTCAATAAGATGATCCTGAGCAGGGGTGCAGCTTAGAACTAAATGTACTATTTAGCTTGGGGAAAGGCAAGAAGCTCCTGAAAGCTTTTCTGTGTCTGAGGCAAACAATGCACTGAAGAAAATTACCACCATTTTTTTCCTCTTCAGAGCTACTGAATATACCTGAGAAGGAATGAACAGAACTCCAGCAGTGTTCAGATTCTTAAGACCGGGGTGTATGTTTCTTCTGAAGTATTAAGGCTTCCTTGGTTACAGTGAGAGAGGTTTCATCACTAGATTCTGACCTCCTCCTACTGAAAGGTGCTAAACCTCTGTGATATCTATAAAGCAGCAAACTACAAATTCCTCCATCTGGGATAAGCTCAAGAGAATCAATTTAGGTTTCATGGTACTAAGGAGGCCGGGCAGAAATGTCACAATTGAATAAAGAAAACAGGGCCTTCAAAATGTTCCTTTGCAAAGTGACACTTGAATCCAAAGATGCCTAAATGCCATTTTGATGTTCATTTAGTAAAAAGGACATACTGACCTGGTCTGTGATAGGTACGTGGAAAAAGTTGGGTATAATTTTTCTCCCAACAAACTTAAGTTCCCATATTTGATCACTGCACATATGCACCTGTAGCAGTGTCTCCAGAGACGTCCCTGTACGGCGCCTTCCTTACATGTCACACCTGACAGGTGGTTACTGAACTAGAGAGTAGATTTGGCACATCTTTTCTTAGTCTTTTGATTCAGATTGAAAACGTACAGCACAAACTAGGTCAAAGTTACTTTAAGTTAGAATTTATTGTCATTTATTCCTTTTTATGAATTTATATATACTTATTTTTTTATGTTATTAATTGGTCTAGAGCCACAAACATGGGTTTGTCCTGAGTACATTTTCAAATAACTTTATAATAAGGAAATGGTTTTGTGCATGTTCTTGGAAACACTTGTGTATGTATAGAAGGGAGGGACTGATTATTTTTCTACAAAGTAATTTATGATTTCTAATTTTCTAATGTGCCTTGGATATGTGCCAAATGATGGAAAAGAAACAGTAAACTTTATGATTCTTGAGCGTGTCGTGGAATACTTCTTTAGTGTTTTGTTATGGAGCTATTATGTTTTAGCCTCTACCATAAACATGGGCTATATATGTATAGAAAAATATTCCATTGGATATACATTTTATTTTTCATTTATAAATGTGTAACTGAAATATGTAAACCAGATCATTCAGAGCAGATCATTATCCATCTATCTGACTAGGGCCAACTTACTCCAGTAGAGAGAGTGCCTAGGGACCACAAAAATGTTTTAATTTCTTCTAAAATCAGAAAACTAAAATGAATACAGCTTCTTAGCCCAAACAGGAAATAAGCACTCCTGCTTTGCAAATTTATTTTCCTTCTTTTCTCCACTTTTAAACAGAAAAACCTTATTGACTTGCTGCTGTGTTTATCATCCTAATTAAGAAAACTATATCCTATGCAATTTATCAGCATAACCATTTCCAAGATGCAAATACAGACATTTGATACCCCCTGATTTTTTGGGTGATGTAATTTAATCTTGAAAACATTCATGTACACACTTAACTCTAAATTAAATTTACAATGCCCTGCCTGGCAGAACTGTCAAATAAGGAAATAGGTTCCAAGAAATAAGGGGGCTGTTTCCTTGCACTGTCAGAGCTGGGAGTCAGGTCTGATTGGCAGCGTCACCTGAATTGGCAGTTTCAGGCTTGGTATTTCATCTGGTGATATAAATACTGTAAAAGGGACTGTCAATCTTATGGTAGTTTCCTCTTGAGCTACTCTGGAAATCAGCAGGGTGAGCCATCTGAAGTGGTTCCCTTATTTTAAAAACACTTGTTTTTTTCCTCCAATTGCTTTTTCCTGCTTAAAACTAAACTTGACAAATCAGAAACTGGTAATGCTCAAATTTCTATTTTGTGTAAGAACACTCCCCACTTTCTAAAATGTACTTCATCCCCTTGCTACCTTTAGATTCTCTATTACTGTACATTATTCTCAAGTGTCTTTGAAGGACAGGGGTTTGATAATCTTTAAACACATTTACATCAGTAGCTGTCATTAGGACACGGTTATTCTGCAAGAAAAAGTGTGTAATGAAACTTGCTGAGAATTATCTAGTTTCCCTCCAGCATTTTAACGTAAATGAGACCTAAAACAAAATTTACCTGTAACTGGGGTTTTTTTCCCCTTCAAAATCCTTGATCAGAATTTACCTTTGTCTGTTTAATTCTGTTCCTTTAAAAAAATTCTGGTGTTCTTAATGGTTCTACTCATTTGTTTATTCAGGAATACTAGACACTCCAACATTGTTTCTTCATTGACTAGTTTTAAATTTCAAGTCTCAATAAAACCTCAAGTATAATAAACATGTCAGCAATATGCTAGTTAACACAGACTGGGATGGTAAACCATGTTTCCCTGCACTTTTCTGCTTCTAATCCTATTCATCTCATTAAATGTCATGAATTTCCTCCTGGGCTGGGTCTCATAGGACTAAGACATGTAAAAAGGTTACACCAAACAGCTCACTTGAAAGTTAAATTTATAATTTATATTCTTGAGCAAAGGTTTCATAACCGAGTGGAGGTAAAGCATGATATAAAAGATGACCTCTGCTTTAAAGTTACCTTTATCATTGAAGAACCCAGAACATTTCTATGGAAATGTTTACCTACTAAACTGTGTGAACTGGATTTTAATCATTAGAAGTAATTTCTCTTACAAATATGTTTATTATTGTTGAAGTATGATTGCTAATAGTGACTTTGGTAATTTTTGTCAATAGCAGTACCATGCTATAGAAGTTGTAATTTGGTCCCAACGCCTGTGAGAAGCAGTTAAGTAGTATCTGCAGGAAGAAAAACTGCTTATCTGCTTTCAGAACCTATGTCTTGGAAATACTAGATGTTAAATATTAGACATCAAAGTTGATTCAGCTTAATCCATGGGTTTTAACTCCCATGATGTTATTGGATCCTGGTATTTTCTTTTTACTGAAGAGTGCTCAAGCAGCTTCTGTATCTGCCAAGGCCATCCCTCTGTAACACTAATGTCACAATTACAAAGAATAGACTAATGCTGCTACACATGTGTAAAAGTTCTTGGTAGGGAGGGAAAAATTTTAAATGCAGATATTCTAATCATTCAGTGCTGGTAGTGAAACAACTTTGCCCAAGTGGTTTTAATTTGCATAACAAGTTTATTTTTTAAAAGGGATATAGACAATAAACAAAGTAAACATTCAGTCAGATCTTAACTTCTGCCAAGTAGTATCTGTCCTAGAATTGTTCCATTAAGTTCCAGTCTCTATAAACACTGTAAATTCAATAATCGTCATCTTCATCAGAGTCCATTACTTTTCTTCTGTTGAACTAGGAGGGGTGGGGGGAATTAAATGAGTGTCATAACATGTTCAATAAAGCATAATTCAGATTTTCTGAGAAGAAAAATTTCTAACTACTAAATAGCAAGACATATTTGTGTCTTTAAAACTCAGTGTTTTAGATCTAAGGTGGGGAGGGGAACGATGACAGAAGAACCTTAAAAATTAAATCCCTCAATATATGCGGCCTTTATCCCCAGACTTCCACGTGTTACAAAATGACTATGGGTTGAAACGTGTTTTGGTAGAGTAGATGGACATTCAACACATCATTAAAATACCTTCTGCCCTGTGCATTTGGGAAACTTACTTTAACTGTGGTTTTCTTTTCTGTTTGTTGGCTTACTTTTTCAAGGATTTCTATTAAACCTTGTTCTGATACCTAGGATAATCAGAAAGAAGCAGTTTTTTAAACAGTTTATCTCAGCAAACAGAATCATTTTAGTTTTTCTGGAATGTGAAGACAGAAGTCAAGCGGGAAGGAGAGGTAGGACAAGAGGTTATAACTACTGGTTAAAGTTCCAAGTAAAGTTCGCTTTGCTAGCCTTGTTTGAGGAAGGGGGAAAGTATCAATCAGCTTCCTCAGAAAAATCCAAAGTGAACAGCTATTTAAGAAAAACTTTATAACCATTAGCAGATAATAACCACCACCTACACCACTGTGCTAAGTGTCAGTGATAGAGACACATTGCCTATGTCTCTGAGACCTTGAAAAGCTTAAATGCAGGAGATAAATCACTCAGAAAAAGATGAAGCAGTCACTGTCTCTTCCACACACAGGTTCCTAGTGTAAGGGGCTCAGGGCAAGGCTGATCCCTGCAGGGTGTGGTGGCAGCAGAGGGCTTTCCAGTGCAAATGTCTGAATCTTGAAGGAAAGTCAGGCTTGCCAGAATATACCCATCATGGCCTTACAGCAATGCACAAACTAGGGATTTTAGCACCTCATGATTTGCAAAACAGCTTCTGCCTACATTGGTAATATAACTGGTATCGTTAACAAACTTTGTTTCCAGTGTAGAAGCAATTTAAGCTAGCTGACCCTAACCCTAAGTCATTGTGTCACAGACACCAGTAAGGTTCCAAGCAATGGAACCAGCTATGTCAGGAAAGCAGCAAAGGCTTTTAGGAAAAGCAATAAGCAATTTGTTATCCTTTAGGATTTATGGTAGATACAACTATTTTCTCCTTTAAAAATTGATTCATTGAAATAGTCAACAAGAATTCTATAATCAAAAGATGAAACTGACCTTTTGAAGACATGTTTTGATGAAGTAAATAACAGGTAAACCTGCCTCAAGGCAGTCCAAGCTTACCTTCCCACCGAGCTGTCCATATCTTGCCATCTGTATAAGGTAATTCTCCACTGCTTTAGTTTTTTCAGGCTTTACAAGTGCTAAGTTACTTACTAAAAGGAAAAAAATATATATACACACAAGAGTCAAAACTAAATGCACTTACATAACTTAAAACTAGGCAGCAACATTTCCAAAGCACTTCAGATTTATGCTGAGACCAGCAAGGTAGGTGGGGCAGGTGGGATTGTTACCCATCTTAAAAATGAGGAAACTAAAGTTTAGCCATGTCAATTTTAGTCCAGGATGTACTGAGGTAGTGGTAGAGCCAAGATTAAACTTGGGTCTTCATATTCTAAGTGCTCCCCCCTCACCCCTTTTTAAATATATGACGGCTTTCTAGAAAGCAATTTATACATTACTACACAGATATAATCATGGTAAGCCATCTAAGGCTGCCTCTTCTACACTGGGCTTCAAGTTATAATACAGAAGATACTAGTTCATTCTTATTGGCTCATTTTATTTTCTACATGGTTTCCTTTTGGTTTTTATTATGAAAAATTATGAACATGTGCTAAAATGGAAACTACAATAAACCCCCAAGCTTCCATCACCCATATCAACTACCAGCAACATTTTACGATTGACTCGATTTAAGAGTTGTTTCTTATAAATTTTACTTAACATGCACCTGGAGATGCCTCCTTACTAAGAAAATGAACCAGTACTTTTAATGATATAAGTACATTTTTTAAGTTTATAATCTTCACATTTCTTACAAATAATCTAATTTAAGTGTTTTCAGGTTAAACTTAATCTAGAGAGAGCAATAATTTCATATCTATCTCCCTATTTAACTAACTCAAGCCAATTTTATGAGAATAACTTAAAGGTAACTGAAGGATGCTTACAGCGGGCCCGAGCTGACTGATCCAGAACTTGGGCTAAGATGCTGTTTCTCATTTCTGCTTCCCTACAACAAAAACAGGTCAAGCAAAATTAGAACTAAGCTGTCAGCATTTCTACTGAACATTAAAGAACGTACCTCACTCAGTATGTTTCTCACTGTATTAGCCTGCTACAGGAGGTGCTGCAGGAGCCACATTTAGACAGTAGAGTCCACTCTTGCCCTCAAAAGCTAGCTTTGTATTACAGGGGTGTAAAACTACCAGGCTGAAAGGTAAAACTTTACATTTTCATAATTCAGGGTACAGTGTCAGTTCAACTACCTTTACCAAAAGGTGCTAGAAATCTGTAGTGAGATTTCAGACAATTAGAAGGATCAATGACTAATTTGTGTAATTTTTTTTAGAGGGGAAAAGGCTGATACCTAGGGAGGCTATGTTGAGAGGACACAGGTAATCGTGGCCAAACTAGAATTAGATCCCATGTTTCAAGACTCTTGGTTCTAGTTTTTGGGTTAGGTGCCCGTGGGGGGAGGGAGAGTGAAATTTTAACTCTGCAACTATCCTTGCATCTTCCTACCTAAGTAGGAACTAGTTCATGTTCATAGGACAGTGGTTTCCAACTTTTCTTAGGCAGCATACATTTTTTTTCCAAATGACTGCTTCAAGGAACAACACAGACAAAAGAAGAGAGGAGGAGCGGGGGCTGGCTGTGCCCACTAATGCCCTCATCTGAGGAGCTCTAAGGTTCATGGAACATGACTTAACGCCCACGTCCACAGGCTATTTCCTTATCACTCCTGATAATGAATTACTGTTAGTGTATTTCACTGAATCTAAGATGCCATCTAGTTTAAGATACACGATAGTTTTATATGCCTCAAAAATAAAAAAAACACCAGAGATGAGGAGTCTAACAGGAGACCCCCACACTCAAAGCTGCAGCATCAAAGAGCAACATCCACAGCAAAAGGTAAACAAAAAATAAACCTGCCATGCAGAAAGGGCCAGCAAGGAAGGATACACACACCAACCTTGGCCCTGAGTCGAAGAAGAAAAAGTTCCTCTGAGAATGTCAAGCTTTTAGTCTTACAGGTTTGCTGTCTGAATTCACACTACCAGGGGGGGATTTACCAAAAGGTGCTAGAAATCTGTAGTGAGATTTCAGACAATTAGAAGGATCAATGACTAATTTGTGTAATTTTTTTTAGAGGGGAAAAGGCTGATACCTAGGGAGGCTATGTTGAGAGGACACAGGTAATCGTGGCCAAACTAGAATTAGATCCCATGTTTCAAGACTCTTGGTTCTAGTTTTTGGGTTAGGTGCCCGTGGGGGGAGGGAGAGTGAAATTTTAACTCTGCAACTATCCTTGCATCTTCCTACCTAAGTAGGAACTAGTTCATGTTCATAGGACAGTGGTTTCCAACTTTTCTTAGGCAGCATACATTTTTTTTCCAAATGACTGCTTCAAGGAACAACACAGACAAAAGAAGAGAGGAGGAGCGGGGGCTGGCTGTGCCCACTAATGCCCTCATCTGAGGAGCTCTAAGGTTCATGGAACATGACTTAACGCCCACGTCCACAGGCTATTTCCTTATCACTCCTGATAATGAATTACTGTTAGTGTATTTCACTGAATCTAAGATGCCATCTAGTTTAAGATACACGATAGTTTTATATGCCTCAAAAATAAAAAAAACACCAGAGATGAGGAGTCTAACAGGAGACCCCCACACTCAAAGCTGCAGCATCAAAGAGCAACATCCACAGCAAAAGGTAAACAAAAAATAAACCTGCCATGCAGAAAGGGCCAGCAAGGAAGGATACACACACCAACCTTGGCCCTGAGTCGAAGAAGAAAAAGTTCCTCTGAGAATGTCAAGCTTTTAGTCTTACAGGTTTGCTGTCTGAATTCACACTACCAGGGGGGGAGGGAGAGGAGAACTTCAAGTAGAGAATTTAATTTTAAGGTCTCAGGTTAGAATTGTACCCGTGATGGCAGAAGCAAAAGTAAACCCTCTCTGGAAGAATCCAGGACAAGAACAACTGATTATGAGACACACCCATTTCCTAATACATTAAAACATGAAAAAAGGTACATCTTACAATGAAATTTATGTGGTAGTTTTATTTTCTTCTTAGCACTACCCTATGTGCTTAACATGTCCTCCCCTGCTAACATAAGCCACTTAAGGGCAGGAACCTTCTCTGCCTTGCCTGTTTCTGTAGACCCAGTGCAGGGGCTCAATAAATATTTGCTTAATAAAAGAATTAAAAGGTAGCATGATGAGGGGAGAGGAAAATAGTTGTTCAATAGGTACAGTTTCAGTTTTGCAAGCGAGATCTGTTTTCTGGAGATCTGTTGCACAGTAATGAGAATATAGTTAACATGACTGAACTTTACACTTAAAAATGGCTATTACAGTATATGTATGTTGTGCTTTTTTCATTACAATTAGGAAAAAAAGGCAGCATGATGGTCTAACCAAATAGCATTCAATAAACCTGCCATGTGTTGGGAGAAAATACCAAGAATAGTGTAACAGTTAATATTTATTAAGCACTTACTATCTGGGAGGCACTGTACCCCGGTAATCCTTACAACACCTCTATGAATTCGTCCTATTATTATGTTAATTTTAAGGTAATCAGTTTAGCAGAGAAACAAACATCCACCAGTAATTGCAATACAAGGTAATAAGCCCTGTGGGGCTTCATACATGTTTATTTAATTAACAAATTAATAGTGAACATGCTCTGATTTATGAGAAAATCACTTCTGCAGGAAAATCTTTTTAAGATTCATATACCTACTAAAATAAGTAAAAATAAAAAAAAATTTGGTGAAACCACCTTTCAAAAAGTTCAGAGCTCTACCCCATACCTGTGCTTTGCTTCCTGTTGTGCAGCATCAGCAGGTTCCTGAAAAAAATACTATCTTTTAGTCGAGTACTTGCACAGTGAGGAAAAGGAACGATTCTGTTTCTGATAAACAGAATGCAGTGGCAGAGACCAAATTATGACAAAGTAATTAAAAGCTGGGCCTTACAGAAGTCAGGGGGATAGTTCCGCTCTACTGCAGTGTTTGGCAAGCTTCTGCAGTCACAATGTTTTAGAATACGAACCACCATCAGGGAGGGAAGGCCCTGTGCTATGAAACCGTATTTTAGGCGGTGAGAATAGTTTCTGGGAGATAAAACGTGCCCAGGGACTGCGGACCTGCCGACTGAAGGGGCGCCTCCTTGGGGCTCGTCCCGCCCCACCCCTCGCACCGTACCCCCCTCTCCGCACGGCCGGGACTTGAGCAGTTACTCTGGGCGACTAGTGTTTGGAGTCTGGCTCCTCCCCGGGACCGTAAACTCCGTCAGGACGGGCTCCCCGCCGTATCCTCGGAACCTGGCACACCGCAGACCCTCAAAAAGCGTCGACTACTTGGGTCAGACCGACTGGATTTTAGAAAACAATTCGGCTGCAACAGTGGTCGAAGCAGGCTGGGCCCAGAGCTGAAGGGTACGGAGAGCCGAGGGGCCGAGCACGTCGCTTCGGACCCACGGCGGCCCGGCGAGGCCGGCGCTGGGGGCGCGCCCACCTCCCCGGCCCCGAGAGGCCCAGCGCCGGCCCGCCGGGACGCGTACGGTCGGCCTGGCGGCCGAGCCCTCACGCGGCGGGGACGACGCCCACGAGCCCGCGGGGGCAGCGGCAGGGTCCTGGGCCAGTGAGGAAGCCCCGGCCGCGGAGCCTCCGGCCGCGCCCTCCACTTCAGCTGAGGGCGGCGCCCGCAGGCACCGGCTGACTGAGGGCGGGGGCACTCACCCCGTGCTTCGCCTGCAGCTCCGCCATCCTCTGCCTCCTCAGCGCCTCCAGCTCCTCCTCCGCCATGGTGCGGCCGGCCGCGGTCGAGCAGCCGCTACCACGCTCGGAAGGATCTGTCGAAGCCCTGCGCGCGAGCGCGGCCCTCCCCACTGCGCAGGCGCCCGCGGCGCTCAGGCATCACCAATCCAGCCCGGAGCCGCGCCGCCCGCCGCAGCCAGGCCTACGGGAGAGGCCCGATTCCGCGATGGCAGGCAGTCGGGTGTGGGCCGGGCTGTGGGCAGAACCTGGGGTCCAGCCCTGCGGAGCGAGGACCCCCAGCCCTGCCGGTCTGCACCCTGCGAGTGGGAAAAGACAGGAAGCTAGAACCAGGCCCTCGTCAAGAATAATAATAATAGGTAAAATGTGTTGGTGGCCTTTTATGTGCTAGGCTATGCTAGCTCCAGTTTGAGATGAGGATCCAGGGGTTTAGAAAGGCTGAGGATGTTGATGGAAGTGTTCTAAAACTGGGTGGTGGAGGTTACCCCATTCTTCACTTTGCCAAAAAGACATTAAAGAGGACTAAAGGGGACCTGGAAGCGGAGGAAGAAGGGACGCTCTGGTCACTGGGCCCCTAAATCAAATAAAGCGAACTTGGCTGAGAGTCGCGTACAGACTGGCCTTTTCCTCAGAGGTTGGAGCAGGGCTGTGGGGTGTTATGTGAACTTCCAGACCCCGCTCCCCCACCCCCCGACACCAGAGGCCTGTCGGGGACGTTGGGTGCCGGCGGTGGCTGGGTGAACTCCCTGGCGGTGCGCCCTGCTTTTGGAGTGGGGGGCGTGGGCGGGCCTGCAGGGGTCGGTGGTGGAATGTCCGCTCCTTAGCCTTGTGACTTATGCGGATTATCCACCTGCTGGTTTTCTAGTTGTGGCAAAAACTGTATACAATTTACCGTTTTAACCATTTTAGAGTGTATAGTTCCGTGATGTTAAATTCATTAACGTTGTTGTGCAACCAATCCCAGAACTCTTCTCATCTAGTAAAACACTCTTCTCATCTAGTAAAACTGAACGGCTTTACCCATTAACTATCAATCCCAATTCCCTCCCCCAGCCCTTGGCAACCACCATTGTAATTTTCTGTCTCATGATTTTGACTACTTCCTATAAGTGGAATCATACAGGGTGTTTTTGTGACAGGTTTATTTCACTTAGCATACTGCCCTCAAGGCTTACCCGTGTTGTAGCATGTTAGAATTTCTTCCCTTTTTAAAGCTGAAAAATATTCCATTATAGGTGAATACCACACTTTGTCCATTTATCCCTCAGTGGATGCTTGGGTTGCTTCCACATTTTGGCTATTGTGTACAGTGCTGCTATGAACATTATTTTGGTATATATATCACTTTCAATACTTTCCTTCAGTACCAGTTTCAATACAGAGAATCCATGTGTTTTTAATTCAACATTCTGAAACATTAATGATGCCTTTTCTCTAATATGTAATGAGGCAAGATGGGGCGGTAGGACTGTATAAAAATGGTAGTACGGAGTATTTTTTTAAATTGAAGTGTAGTTGATACATAATATTATATTAATTTCAGGTATACAACACAGTGATTCAACAGTTACACACATTATTAAACCCTCACCCCAACTACTACAATTATCATCAGTAAAGAAAGGTGTTACAGAACCATGGACTATATTTTCCATGATGCACTTCCAACCCTGTGACCACGTAGATTTTGTGCCTCCTGATCTCCCTCACCCACTCCACCTACCAACTCCAACCTCTCCCCCATGGTAACCACCAGCCATTTCTCAGTGTCTATGAGTCTACTGCTGTTTTTTTCATTTTCTTTCGCTTTGTTTTTAGATTCCACATAGAAGTGAAATCATATTGTTAGGCAGGAAGCCAGAGAATAGCGGGAGGAGAGGTCTGGTTGACCACCTCTAGTCCCTAGTCGGGACTACAGATAGCTTCCACCAATGAGAAAATCCCTAGCAAGAGGAGTAAAACCACAGAGAAATTCCACAAGCTAGAGTCCAACTGGGCATGCTCCTGGGGTGTCCTAAATGAAGGGTTCCTCATTATTAAGTCATTAAAATAAATCTGCACTGCGGTTTAGCCCCCCCATGGTGGACAGAGAGACTTCTGGGAAAGAGCATGCGTAGTAAAAATTAGCTTACATCATTGCCAGCCTATCAGTAAACATTTGTTTGCATGATGCTACCCTTCCTAAAAACCCCTTGCTATAAAAAGGAACTTACCCCGTATAGTCAGTGTCTGTCTGACGTCAGGTCGCGGCCCACTCTATTACAGAGTGTAATAAACTTAAACTTGCTTGCTTTCTTAATTTCCTTGACTTTAGTCTCACTCTGTTCAGCTTCCCTGTGTCGCTGAACCAAACTCCTTCCTAACAATATGGTATTTGTCTTTCTCCACCTGGCTTATTTCCCCTAGCATAATATCTTCTAGGTACATTCATGTTGTCCCAAAAGGCAGTATTTCTTTCTTTTTTATGAATGAATAATGTTCCACTGTGTATATGTACATCTTTATCCATTCATCTGTTGATTGACATTTTGGTTGCTTCCATATCTTGGTTATTGTAAATAATGTGGCAATAAACATAGGGGTACATATATCTTTTTGAATCACATTTTTTTTTCTTTGGGTAAATTCCTTGGAGTGGAGTTCCTGGGTCATATGGTACTTCTATTTTTAGTTTTTTAAGGAAACGTCATACTGCTTTCCATAGTGGCTGCACCAGTTTACATTCCCACTACATCCTCTCCAACACTTGTTATTTCTTGTCTTTTGAATAGTGGCCATTCTGACTGGTATGAGGTGATAAATCACTGTGGTTTTGACGTGCATTTGCATTTGAGTAGTGATGTGAAGCATCTTTTTATGTTCTTGTTGACTGTATTTATTTCTTCTTTGGGAAAATGTCTGTTAAAGTCCTCTGCCTATTTTTTAATTGGAAAATTTCTTTCTTTGGTGTTGAGTCAAATGAGGTCTTTATATATTTTATATGTTTAAGTATTATTTTTAGTGCTAATATAAATAGAATTATTAATTTCCTTTTCAGATCATTCATTGTTAATGTGTACAAATATCACTGTTTTTTGTGTGTTGATTTTGTATCCTGCAACTTTGCTAAATTTGTTTATTAGCTCTAACAGTTTTTTAAAAACTGGAATCTTTATGCTTTTTTACAAATAAGAACATGTCGTTTGTAAACAGAGAACATTTTATTTCTTCTTTCTAATTTGGATGCCTTTACGTCTTTTTTCTCCCCCCTCCCTCCCTCCCTCCCTTCCTCCCTTCCTCCCTTCCTTACTTCCTTCCGTCCTTCATCTGTTGGCTCTAGCTGGAATTTCTAGTACTTTGTATAGATACAGTGAAAGCAAGCATTCTTACCTTGTTCCTGATCCTAGAGGATAAGTTTTCCATCTTTCACATTGAATATGATATTAGCTGTGGGGTTTTCATATTTGACCTTCATTATGTGGTCATAGTTTCCTCGTATTGATGATTTGTTGAGTGATTTTTAATCATGAAAGGGTGTTGAGTTTTGCCAAATGCTTTTTCTGCATCAATTGAGATGATGTGGTATTTTCCCCCTTCATTTTATTACTATGATATATTGCTTTGCTTGCTTTTCATATGTAGAAATGCCCTTGTATCCCAGAAATAAATCCCAGTTGGTCCTGGTGTATAATCCATTTAATGTGCTGTTAAATTCTGTTTGCTAGTATTTTGTTGGTCATTCTTGCATTAGTGTTCATAAGAGATATTTGTAGGTTTGTTTGCTTTTGGTGTCTGTCTGGCTTTAGTATCAGTGTAATGCTGGCTTCATAGAATGGGTTAAGAAGTATCCCTCCTCTTCCATTTTTTGGAAGAGTTTGAGGAGGATTTGTGTTAATTTTTAAGTGTTCAGTATGATTCACAAGTGATACCATCTTGTCCTGGACTTTTCTTTGGGGGTTTTTGATTACTGATTCAATCTCCTTACCAATTATTGATCTATTCAGATTTTCTGTTTCTTCATGATTCAGCCTCAGGTGTGTTTCTAGGAATTTGTACATTTCATCTAGGTTCCCAATTTGTTGGTGTACAATTGTTCTTAGTTGCAGTTGTTCATAGTACTTTGTTAGAATTCCTTGTATGTCTGTAAAATCAGTAGTAATGGCCCCTCTTTCATTTCTAACTTTAGTTGAGTCTTCTTTTTTTAATTAGTTAATCTAGTTAAAGGTTTGTCAATTTTGTTGATCATTTTGAAGAACCAACTGTTGGTTTTGTTGATCTTCTCTGCTGTTTTCTATTCTCTATTTTATTTATATTTACTTTCTAATAGCTTTGAGATTAGTTCTTCTTTTTCTAGTTCATTAAGGTGTTGATTTGAGACCTTTCTTGTTTTTGAATGTGTTTACAGCTATAAATTTCCATCTTAGCACTACTTTTGCTGCATCCTCTAAGTTTTGATATATCCTATATTTTCATTTTTATTTTTATCAAATTTATTTTCTAATTTCCTTTGTGATTCCTTCTTTTGGACAGATTGTCCAAAGGTGTGTTGTTTAATTTCCACGTATTTGTCCCTTTCTGGTTTTCCTTCCACTGTTGACTTCTAGTTTCATTTCATTGTGATCAGAAAAGATACTTTGCATGATTTCAGTCTTTTGAATTTATTAAGACTTGTTTTGTGGCCTATCCTGAGACTGTTCCATGTGCACTTGAGAAAAATGTGTGTTCTGTTGTTATTGGGTAGAGTGTTCTGTATATATGTAAGGTCCAGTTGGTCTGGAGTGTTGTTCAAGTACTCCTTTGGTTTTCTGTCTGATTGCTCTTTCCATTATTGAAAGTGGGTTATTGAAGTCTCCTACTATTATTGCAAAACTTTCTATCTCTCCCTTCAATTCTGTCAATGTTTGCTTCAAATATTTAGGTGCTTTGATGTTTAATGCATATATATTTATAATTGTTATATCTTCCTGATGAATTGACCCTTCTATCATTATATTATGTCCTTATTTGTCTCTTATATTAGTTTTTGACTTCAAATCTATTTTGTCTGATATTAGTAGAGTCACTCCTGCTCTCTTCAGGTTACTGTTTGCATGGAATATGTTTTCCATCCTTTCACTTTCAACCTCTTCATGTCCACTTGCTTTTGCTGTTTTGTT